AATAATAGCAAGTAAAACTTGCCAAGTACACTGCATGTTTCTCAGCACAACCAACTCCAAGAGGCAACCTTCCTTGAAGTTTCAGCCTCAACCCACGGAGGATCTCACGTGGGCTCCATTGGAGATGGCATGACATATATGTATGAAATTCTCAAAGAATAAAAAAATCATATATTTCGATCCAGGTATGGAGGCAGAGGCAGGAGGATCTCTGTAAGATTTAGACCAGATGGTCTACATAGCGAGTTCCAGGCCAGCTCAGGCCACAATGAGACCATGTCTCAAAAAAGAAAAATAAACTACAAGAAATTAAAAGTAAATTGGAAGCTGGCTTCAAATTTAGAAGTACTTTGAGATTTAAGGTAAAACATACAAAAATACATGTTTTAAGCAAGATAATATCAGTAATATTTCCTTGTAATAAAATGTTTTCCCCTCCATCAGCTAAAAGCCTTAACAAAATGGTGACATTACTGTATAACTAGACAAGGAAAATGAATGCTTTGTTGTGGGCTGCTTACAAAACTGGAGAATCAGCAGGCACTTATTAATTTTAGGAATAACATTCAGAAATAACTTTTTCCTTCTACCACAAGGTTAGCTCATGACCTTTTGCACAAATATTAATAAGATCTTAGTTGTAAAGATTCTCTGCAATGAAGAAGGAAAAGTAGATTCCCTTGTAGTGTCACTGGATTTCTGAATGTGAGCCTATTGCTCACATCTGTAATGAGGTTCCTGTTTGTTCTGTAACCAACCCGACAGTTTGTTCTGAGCTGCTAGACAGTGAATGCAAGTACATGTGTGTGTGAGGGAGGTAAGTGTGAGTAGGTGTTCAGGAGAGCTAGAAATGGAGAGAGCGACGGAGATTCTGTTTTGCCTGATGTCTAATAGTCTCCGATCTTGTCCACATGGTAAAGGATTGGAATAGAGGTGTGAAAGGTAGTTGTGGAAGTGTTTCATAGCACCCTTCGTATGAAATAACAGCTGAATAATACAGACACTATCACCAGGCAGTTGGGCTTTGGGTGTAGGCTTGTGAACCCCATTCTTGGCCGTTTATTCTCTCATTCTAAGTACTGTATTCTGCGTACTTAGTACTTTACATTATTCTGTTCTCAAATAGATTGTCCCATTAATTAGTGCACCTTAGTATTGTATGAGCTTGAATTAAAGAATGTCCTACTTTCCTTACATATTTTTTCTTCCCATGTATGTAGGGGCACACAACGGGAAATAGACTGCCTCCTCACTCTTGGGTGCTGAGCCTGTAATTACTCTTTGATAGCTAAAGAAGGAAAATGTGCAAATTAGCAGCTTGTTTGATCTCACTTAATAATAACCAGATTTCATTTTTCAAATAATTTAATTGGTTATATTATATATATTTTTTTAGATTAATTTTTTGATTCATTTCTTTTTATGTGTATAAGTGTTTTCCCTGTATGTAAGTGCACCTTATGCATATAGTGACTGTGGAGGTTAGAAGAGGGTATCAAATCCCCTGGAACTTCAGTGATAGACAGTTGTTAGCTGCCATGTGGGTGTTGGGAACCTAACCCGGGTCCTCTGTAAGAACAACCAGTTCTCTTAACCACTGACCATCTCTCCAGCCCCTATTTTTAGATTATTTGCACAGAGTTTTTAAGCATGTATATGATTATACGATATCTATG